AGGAGGCGGCGGGGAGGGCCCGAAGCCGAGCGGGGAACCAGTGCCACCATCCCGCAGCGGGATGGGGATGATGGCCCGGGCGCAGCCCCTCTGGAGGCTCCCGGCAGCGAGCCCCCTTCAGCTCAGCGGCACCTACCCCCGGATGCGCGTGACCTGCACCTCCTCTCGCTGTCTGGATAGACGCAGCACCACAGGGGGATTGCTGTACCTGCTTGATGTTCAGCGTTCCCCATCTCGTGTGTTTATCGTGTTCCTCTATCCATTCTCCCTCATCATAACGTTAGCATTTGTAGCACCCGGTCTTTGGTCTTTATAAATAAAATCTTACCCTTCCCTCCCATATATATTTAAAGTTCCAATCCTTCTTTGTTAACGTTTACAGCTGCCCCCCTCACATCTTTACAGCGCCAGAAACAGGAATGTTAATCCTTCAGATGCTGCCTTCCTGTATGTCCCTCCATGTCTCCCTTTTTCTTTTTCCTCCCACAGACATCTCAAGAAGGGCCGGGGGCTCTGAGGAAACATGGGAACAAGTGGAACAGAGGAAGCGTACCTGGATCAGGTAAGGAGTCTGAGGCGGGTGCTGCATGGCGCTGGGCGTCTGCGGGGGTTTATTCCCCCAAACGGTCCTTGCTCCCAACCCCCCCTTTCATTTTTAAGGCCGACTTGCGGCATTCATTTCTGCTCTCTGCCATGCTTGCCGGTCCGCAGACCATCAGCTTCGTATCTGCTTCGCTGCTCCAGATTTGCTGGAAGGCTGAGTGTGCAAGGGACTTTGCACACTCCGTGATGTTCCCCTCGGAGCACCTCTGCACGGAGGCACGCAGTGGCTTCTCTTTATAAAAATGTTCAACACCTCTTAGAACAAAAGGGAAAAGTTAAACATATATCAGCTGAAAGCAGCTTCCACTGAAATAGCAGGTGGCCCATTCATGGGCACAGTAGCAGCATATAAGTTGAAAAAATAGATCGATCAATAGATAGATAGGGCTGCTAATGCGCCCAAAATGACATTTGCCCTTTTTGCAGCCACATCTCATGGATGGAAGGGATGCAGGTGGCAGAGTGGGTTAAACTGCTGAGCCGGTTGATCGAAAGGTTGCCGGTTCAAATCTGCACAACGGGGTGAGTTCCCGTTGTTCCGCCCCAGCTCCTGCCAACCTTGCAGTTCAAAAGCATGTAAAGGGAGGTAGATAAAAAGGTACCACGTCGGTGGGCAGGTAACAGCGTTCCGCGCACTGTGGTGTTTAGTCATGCCGGCCACATGAGCATGGAGACTGTCTGTGGACAAACGCTGACTCCCTCTGCTAGGAAACAGGTGAGCACCGCCCCCTAGAGTCAGGCATGACTGGACTTAATGTCAAGGGGAAACCTTTACATTTTACCTTTACACATGGTTGGCTCATATTTAGCTTGGGATCTACAACAGCCCCAAGACCCTCCTCCTTTGCAGTCTTCTTGAGCCGGGTGCTCACCACTTTCTAGGATGCATTTGGTTTCTTGCTCCAAAATGGGTGACTTGACGTTTGTCCCTAGAAGCCTTTTGAGGCTGAGAAAGCATTATTTGAACAATTAATTTCCATGCGGCTTATGCCGCTTGGAGGTTCTAATCACTCCTGTTGTTGAATATATTATTTAATTATTTTATAGACAGTGTCTTGTAAATTATATATATTATTCCATATGGTGCCATATGAGTGTGTGTGTGTGTTTTTAAAAAGTGGTCCCTTAATATGTGTGCAGCACTCGGCCCTCCTCACCGCCATTCTCAGAGAGCCAAAGTGGGGAGGTGATCAAACTGGCCTTTCAGAAGGGTCAGGTCCCGGTTACTCAAAAGGGGGGCTCTGGAAAGTAGTTTCTGCTTTGGGTTCAACAACTGCTCTGTGCATGCGCAGAATCCCTTTCTTTGCTGGGTAGACTCTGGAGAACGAGCTTCGTGCAGAAGAACACACCGTTCTGAAACTGAGTGGGATGCAAGTTCGCTCCTGACGGTCTTGTACTCTTACCTCACCTGGTTGTTGTGTGGATAAAAGTATTTTTGGGTTGGAGCAGAAAGCCCCTGAAAATACGTCTTTACTATTTATTTCGTTTCGCTCCTGTGCTGCCTGTAACCCGAAGGTCCCCCGGGCAGCTTGCAAATGCTGAAAACAGCGTGTGTCTGTCAGTCCCTCAATCTGAGAAACAGCTCGTTGGTTTGCTTCTGTAAAGAAGTTCCTCGTAAGGCACAGTCACTCTGTGAATTGTTTCTCTCTTCATGCAGGATGCTGGGTGCCCAGGAGACAGGTGAGTCTGGGGCTCCTTCTGAAGGTCTCGTCTTCTGCTGAACTGGGAAAGGGCCCTGAATCCCGCCTGTCCGTTCACCCGTCCCGAAAACGTAAAGAGCCTCTCAGGCTGGGTCACTTCCATTTTCCCAAGGTGGAAACCGCTGGCATTGCTGGCCATGCCCTTTGGGCCCCGGGGCCTTCTCACCCCTGGCGTGCCGCCCCGAAGCTTCTCTGAACCTGGGTTTCTCCGGCCCCTGGCTCCACTTCTGCTTGGCTCCAGCCAAGGGCCAGACTCCCAGCAGAGAAGCATTTAGGGCTCCTAAAGCATCCTCTGCAAGGGAAGCTGGCCCGGAGGGGAGCACTTTTCTGCCACAGGGACCGGCAGGAGGGGAGGTTTGGGTGGGGAGGGCTCGGCGCTTCTCTTCTGCCTGGGGAATTCCGAAGCAGGTGCTGCAGCCTGACAGCATTTGGCAGAAGGAGCCGCCGGAGGGGGGCCGTTCCCGAGCCAGCCACCGAAAGAGGGAGCAAATGCTGGTCCACGGAGGCACAAAGGGGAAGGGCTGAAAATAGGGGGTGTGGATGCTCCTTCCGCTGAGGGCCACACTCCGGGTTCCAACAGGGCCGCTTTCTGGTAGTAAAGGGAATGGGAGGGGCAAGAGCACCATGCGGATCACAATAGCCAGCATCCCAGCATGCTTTAGTTCAGGCATCCCCTTTCCAGTCACTGAGAGTCGTTTCCACCTCTTAATAATGGGCCTGGGGGCAGGGACATGGCACAAGAGCCGGGAAACTACCAAATGCTGGGGGAGAAAGGAGCTGGGCCAGGGCAGGGGGTGTGGCTCTCTGGGGCCGGCCTGGGTCCCTCGAAGGCCACGCCTGGCCAGCCGGCCTGAGGTTTTGCACCCCTGCAGCGGGAGCCCACGCCTTTCCTTCAGGCAACCTCTTGTAGATGCATGTGGGAAGGAGAAGGAGCAGCCAGAAAAGGGTTCGAGGAGGGAAGAGGGGGCTAGGAGGCTTTAGAAGGGAACTCGGGGGGGTGGGGACGGCTTGATCAACAGTATTCTCGAATCCTTCGTCCTTTCCTTTCTCTATCAGGGAAGGCCCCACAGTCTCCAAAACTGCATCGGTCTCGGTGGAGCGGGGACAGGTACCCAGCCGCCCCTCAGAGCAAGTGTGTCTCCTTCAGGATGAGCCCCCCCGGGTGCAAAGGTAAGTTTTATTTAATGCTTTCTGCCTGTATCCATCAACCAAAGCTCAAAGCCTAGATTTAGTCGGTGGGTGTCCTTCCTTCCTACCCAATTTGGGTTCCAGGAGTTTTGGCAGGGCTGGTCCATGCGCAGCCTGTGTGCTACAACTGCCCCCAAACTCACTGGTGCCTCCTTTTTGCAGCAAGGAAATACCAGAGAGATTGCCCTCTCCAGGTGTGCAGGGCAGAAAGGTGTGGTGTCAAGGTCTCCCTCATTTTTGCTTTCTCTCTCCCGTGGTGATGACACTTTCCTTCAGCAATTAAAAAATGATAATAGGCTGTAGGGCAGTTCAGATTCTAGCTGTTTGCACCAATTCTGCCACTGAAATTAGGCCATTTGGGCCAGAAAATAAACCGCATGTGGTCCTTAAATTGTCACTGATTCATAAGGCTGGCCTCATCCCTCTGTGCAGTAGCTTTAATGCGAGGAGAAGTTAAGGCTCCATTTTAACTAGTATATTCTTGCCTTGTTTTGGTAGATCAAGTGTGGGTGATGGAGAAGGAGAAGGAAACAGCATCCAACACAAACAATTCTGAACAATTAGAGATTTCTGGGAAATTGTTTGAGGATCCAAAAAAGGAAGCTTCCCAGATTCTTGAGCGGAAAGAGAGTTTGGAAAACTTGCAAAAATTAGAAGATCAAGAAAATAGAACTCTGAATCAGGCAGTTCTTCATGGGATGGGCAGCAAAAACACTGAAAATAAATGCAAGAGGCAGCTGTTGTGCATCAGGTGTGGGAAAAGTTTCAGCAACAGCTCCAATCTCATTGCTCATAAGAGAATACATACAGGGGAGAAACCTCACAAATGCCTGAACTGCGGGAAGAGCTTTGGTAAGAAATCAACCCTCATTGCCCATGAAAGAATACACACAGAGGAGAAACCCTATAAATGCTCAGTCTGTGGGAGGAGCTTCAGCCAGACGTCAAGCCTTATTGCCCATGAGAGAATCCACACAGAGGAGAAACCCTATGAATGTTCTGAGTGTAGAAGGAGCTTTAGCTTGAAATCGAGCCTTGTTGCCCATGAAAGAATCCACACAGGAGAGAAGCCTTTCAAGTGTTCAGACTGTGGGAAAAGCTTCAGCCAGAAATCTGCCCTTATTGCGCATGTGAGGACTCACAAAGGGGAAAAGCCCTTTACCTGCTCAGTGTGTGGGAAAAGCTTCAGTCAGAGCTCTAACCTTATTGCCCATGAAAGAATTCACACCGGGGAGAAACCATATCAGTGTGCAAACTGTGGGAGAAGTTTCAACTGCAGTTCAAGTCTCATCAGACACCAGAGGATCCACACAGAGGACAAACCCTATGAATGTTTAGACTGTGGAAAAAGTTTCAGCTGCAGTTCCAGCCTTATTAGACATCAGAGGACGCACACTGGAGAGAAGCCCTACAAATGCAAGGATTGTGGCAAAACCTTCAGTGTGAGCTCTCAGCTTAGTGTGCATCAGAGAACCCATACAGGAGAGAAGCCGTATGAATGTTCCGACTGTGGGAAAAGCTTTAGTGTGCGATCGAGCCTTAGTGCACATGAGAAAATCCATACTGGTAAGAAACCTTATCAATGTACAGATTGTCCCAAAAGTGTCTACTTGAGATCCAGTCTCAATGCACACAAGAGGATACATGGAGGAGAAAAGCCATATGATTGCACAGACTGTGGGAAGACCTTTACTTGCAGCTCAAGTCTTATTCGACATCAGAGAATTCATACAGGAGAGAAACCCTATAACTGTGCAGACTGTGGGAAAAGTTTTATCTTGAGCTCCAACCTCATTGCCCACCAGAGGACTCATACAGGAGAGAAGCCATACCAGTGCCCAGATTGTGGCAAGTTCTTCAGTGTGAGTTCACAGCTCAATGTCCACCAGAGAACCCACACAGGAGAGAAGCCATATGAATGCTCAGATTGTGGGAAGAGCTTCACTTGTAGTTCTGGCCTTATTAGGCATCAGAGAACCCACACAGGAGAAAAACCCTATCAGTGCTCTGAATGTGGGAAAAGGTTCAACCTGAGTTCAAATCTTATTGCGCACCAGAAAACTCACACAGGAGAGAAACCATATAAATGTGTGTACTGTGGGGAAAGTTTCTATACAAGACCAAATTTTGTTGAGCATCATAAAGCCAGTCATACAGATGCTGTAAAGAGGAAAACCCAGGGCAGCAATGTTAATCACGACCCCCAGGCTGTTAATTACCAAATAAACTATATAGAATGGGATTGATAATAATGAGCACAATTCACTAGGAATTGCTATGGCACAAGCCCTGTTGAACTTAATGGGAACTGCTGTGCAGTTTCAGCAGATCGTATTCTGAACTTTCAGTTTCGGAGCTCACAAGTCCATTTTGTGGATGAGTGCAAAAATAATAAAGTTTCTTTGATTCTGTGCCTTTATGTAACATTTAACTTTGAGGAGGTTTCCTGGCATGCAGAAACAGGCAATGTTTTAAAATTTAAGGTAGGCAAACTTTTTTCTGTCAAGGGGTATATTCCGCCCTGGGTGTTGATCTGTCAGATCAGCCATGGGTGGGTGGTGCATTTCTTTTTCTGCCACCCCCTTTTCTCCCTCTTCCTGAGATCTGTACTGATTACATGCACACAACCTTTAGAATTAGTCTGTGGCTTGTACAAAATAGTCCAAGATCCATATGTGGCCCCAGGTCCAGGGTTGTCCACCCATGAACTAAAAGTTGTAGTAAAGGAATTAACAATCCAGTAAAATAGAATAATCATAGCCCTTAAAAAAGGGACCTGTTCTTTTAATGAGAAACAGATTTGATCTATCTCGACGCAATGTTATTTTTCAGAATTACTGGATGGTTTCAAGCCAGGGTAGCACAAAATTGCCAGCTTTCTTGCCTGCCCAGCTTCCACACCCATACCTAGAAATCTGGACACACATGTGTGGCTGATCTGGGCCCTTTTCTCCAGTTAAATGTCCTAACTGTATGATCTTTTCAGATTGTTTCATTCCTGCTCTTCCAAATCTTCCTCATCTTTGAAATTCTTAGCTGCAGTCTCCTTTTAGGAATTTATAAACAAAAAGGAAATCAGACTGGGTCTTTCTATACAACATGAAGTTTTGGCCCTGACACTGGGCCAAATGCAGCTTTTTAATATTTTTTTATTTTCAATGGTTTAACCAGTGTATAAAGTCCTAATAAAGCCCTAGCAAAGAAGGCTGAGAATAAAAAATGGTGGTGTTGCAACTCAGATCTGTTTTCCCACCATGTACTGTGGGGAAACAAGAAGAAATACATGAATTTACAGGCTCATGTAGTTCCTTGCATTTAAGGGGCTCTTTTAATGCAAAGCGAACCTAAATTGGGGCGCAGGCAGGGTTGATGGGGAATCCCGGTGCCGAAGAGCCAGCAGAGCAACCTTTTTGCTCTGTTCTTGCTGTCATTAATCGGCTTTTCTAAACAAGGTTTTAAAGCTTCCACTTTCCTGTGGCTGCTGCTTCTGGATCATATGAGGAATGTCCTCATTTCCTTCTGGTTTTTTTCCTGGGCTTTTTCTTTCCTCTGCCTTTCCTATGCCACATTACTCAACCACCCGATATCTCAGAACTGCATCAGTGCACACACACCTGGTTTGTGCATTGGCAATTTCTAGGCATCGGGGTCATGGGTGCTGTTGAGGGTTAAACTCAATCTATGGAATGTGCTCCCCAGAGAGGTCCGCCTGGCGCCGTCGTTATTTGTTTTTCGGCGCCAGGTGAAGACCTTTTTATTTAAACGTCATTTTAATTGTTAACAATATTCACTTATTCATCTGGCCAGGGCGACTTCTTTCCTTTCCTTTCCTTTCCTTTCCTTTTCTTCTTTTCTTTTATAACTTTTCTTTTATATCGTTTATATTTATTTATTTATTTTATATTATTAATTTTATATTGTTATTTTTGTATTGTATTTTATTGTGTTGTAAGCCGCCCCGAGGCTTCGGCAAGGGGTGGCATAGAAATGTTCTAATAACAACAACAACAACAACAACAACAACTCCTGACTTGCCAGCTGTTGATCAGAAGGTTGGCAGCTCGAATCCGTGTGGCCAGGTAATCTCCTCGCTGCATTGTCCCAGCTCTTGCCAACCTAGCAATTCGACAGCATACAAAGAGGAGTAGATAAATATTTAGCACTTTGGTGGGAAGGTAACAGCGCTCTGTGCGTGAAAACCAGTCGCGTGACCGTGGAAGCGTCTTCGGACTAAGCTGGCTCTTCGGCTGACAAACGGAGATGAGCACCGTCCCTTGAGTCGGACACGGCTAGCGCGTACATGTGGGGGAAGCTTTAGCTTCATTCAGAGCCGAGCTGTCGATTTCTAGGCTTGATTTCCTCCATGTGCTCTACATAAGGTCACCCTTGCTCCTGCTCCAGAAATTGCAACGAGTACAACATAGGGTAGCCAGGCTGGGTTGCTAGGACCGCATGGAGAGACCGTGTATCACCTATTTTAACGTATCCTGTGTTTCCAGAGACAATGCAAGGTGTTGGGTATCGCCTTTAAAGCCCTTCTTGGCTTGGGTGCGAAATACCTTCAGGAGCACCTTTTCCCATATATTCCACCTTGTCTGCTTAAGGTCCTCTGAGAATAATCTTTCAAGATTTGCTTCTGCAAGATTTTCATGTCAGCAACCTGCGGGACTTTCTCAGTGGTGGCCCCTAAACTGAAAATGCCTTCTGGGAAAGCTGTGCCTGACCTTCAAGAAGGAATAAAAGACATATCTTTTCTGACAGGCCTTGTCAGATTAGTTCTCAGGTGGTTTGTTTTAATATGTTCATTTTTAGTCAAATGTTCCTGGCAGGCATGTCATGAGTGGAGCCAGCTAGAGCAGGGGATCAGACTAGATGACCTGGAAGACTCCTTCTCATTCTGTTTCTGTGTAACTATGTTAATCATTGTTGGTTTAAATTGTTTGGAAATTGCTCAGATCCTGTGGGAATGGGGTGGTATGTAAGAATTGAAATACTAATAGTATCAGGAGAGGGAAAACTCTCCCTCTCCACACCAGGCCTAATTCTGCACACCTCCATCAATTCCCCTTCCTGCTAAGCCACACAATCTCAGCTGTTGTGAGCTTTAATTATCATTGTACTTAAGGCTCAGTCCACTTGGGCCCATAAGCCTCCAAACTCTCCCCACCACAATCCTCTGGGCCTCCTATGCAGGGTGCAAGAAATTCATGACGATCTTTGTCTCCCAGCCTGCCATACAGTCTATTTTGAACATCTATTTTGAGCAGCACTTTGAAAAGGACAAGAAAGAAGCTGATTTTGCAGGATATGTCTGTTCCTAGTGGCTGTAGTAACATAGAAACATAAAAAACAGTGCGAGTCAGAAGGGGTCTCCCGGGTCATCTAGTCTGACCCCCTGCTCTAGCTGGCTCCACTCATGACACGCTCCACTCTGGCACCAGCCGGCTCCGCTCATGACATGCCCACCATGTGCATATCCAGCCTATCTTCCTTTCCCACCCCATGGAATACTCCTTTTACCCCTTCCTCCAAAGTCTGGCCTTGTGACCTTGGAGATGCAACCAAAGAGCTCTTTTCTGCACCCACTGCAAGGACTGGGGTGCGGGCCCAAGTTCGGACTCCCAGCTCCGAGGCTGGCTGCCTTTTCTTGATGCACCTGGGTATCTCCAGAATCCTAACCACCATTTATTTATTTATTCGACTTCTATTCCACAAAACTAGTCCAAAGGCTCTCCAAGCAGCTTACCAGACGCTCTGCGCACCTTTTCTTCCGATTGCTTGTACTGCAGTTCCTTCTATGAGAATTCATTCCGTTAGATTTCCTTGCATTAGGTTGCTCAGCCTTTTCCGAAATGAACTTCAAGGTGGCTTATGACAATGTTAAACTCTGCAAAATGCAAAACAGCTAAAGATGCTGCCACCCCTTAAGAAAACCAAAATGTCAGAGATGAGCCCTGTACCCTTGACTCTTCCCCAACCATCCCTACCAGTATTTTATAGTTTCTGGGCCTCCCCTGCTTCTGTCGCCCACCCAAAATTAAATCCTGAATTAAATATGAGAGCCAGTGGGGTGTAGTGGTGAAGAACATGGGACTGGGACTCAGACGATCCGGGTTCTAGTCCCCGCTCAGCCATGCAGCCAACTGGGTGACTTTGGGCCAGTCACAGACTCTCAGCCCAACCTACCTCACAGGGTTGTTGTTGTGGGGATAAGATGGAGGAGGAGAATGATGTAAGTTGCCTTTGTAGGAAAAAGGCAGGATATAAATCGAAAAATAAATAAATAAAAATCTTGTTGCTCTGGAGTCCAGGAGTGGCAGAGTTTCTAAGGGCGCAAATCTAGGCAGATTTAGACAGTGAAGGAAATCGTGGAATCGCAGAACCAGGAGAAAGTATGGTCAGATTCACAGGAAGTTGCTATGCTCTGTCTCAGTAGTTTATTGGCATAACGCTCAGGTAACCCTTTCTAACAAAGAAAAAAACAGCGTGGTCGGGTAGCCAGTATACCAAACTGGCAATGAGCATCAAGAGCATATGCAGAGGGTTTTTTTATAAGTTATAGGTGTTGGGAAAATTTGGGTAAATCCTGTCTGAAAAGCATTACTCCTGTGTGCCTTTGCATTGTGGGATCAAGTCCTGTGCTCCTTCTCAAAACCAAGCTGTCACTGTTTAAAATGGCATTCTGCCCGCTCCTTTCTCTCACCTTTAGCTGTGGGCTACAGTGGACAGGCCATTCAGTCCAAATATACATCGTAAATAGTCAGTGTTGGAACTCAGTTTACAAGGAAGTATCTTTTGATAGCCCAGAGGCTCCATGTGCCCTGGCCAATTCAGAATGTCTAGAGTCTAGATAAGAGTCTTGAGTTCATGCATAGTT